TCAACTTAAACTTAATTTTAATTTCAATGAATGTGCTTAAAAATGAAGTTTATGTTTAAATAAGTTTGATTTGTCTCTTTAAATCAGTTGTTTGATCTATCAATGGTTTAAGCTCTGACTAACTTAATCATCTTACGTTTCTCCTTCTTCATCCAGTCTTATTATGTCCTATAACGGAGGGGCCGTCATGGCCATGCGAGGGAAGAACTGTGTGGCGATAGCAGCGGACCGGAGGTTTGGCATTCAGGCTCAGATGGTCACCAGAGACTTCCAGAAGATCTTCCCCATGGGAGATAAGCTGTATATTGGGCTGGCAGGACTGGCCACTGATGTTCAGACAGTTCCCATGGGGAAGATCTTCTGGAAGTCTCTGGTGACCATCTGAGCCTGAANGTCACTCAGAATTTTTGTGTGCTCGCGAGAAGATTCTGGGAACCGATCCGCTAATGATGCCGGCCTATGTAGCCGGTGTCACGTGGGTCACAGGTGACTTGATTTGACTTATCTCTGGCCCCCCTTGCTCGATTTTGCTGATTGACATCTCTTTCTAACCGTCAGAGCCAATGGAATCGAGGGGAACTCCCACATACTCCTTATTTGGTAATGTGTGTGTGTGAGACTGCCGCATAGCCAAGACTGGAAGCTGCGATAACTCTGGTGGCTACCATTAGCAGCTAACTTTTACTCTCCGATTTTTACATAAAAATTGAATTATGGATTATAAATAAAAAAATATTCCACAGAAACATTATCAACCTATGGATTAACCGATTCAGCTGCGTTTTTGTCGCGAGTTTGGATCACTCAGTGATGATATATATACCGTACCTAAACAATCTGTGGAACCTCAGCTTTAATCGGATATCTTGTGTGTGCAGCTACGATAAGTAATAAGGGTATCTTTTATCTTGAGTTATGTGCCAAAGTGTGTTAGCATTTTTCGCTCAGGGGTCATTTAGATGCTTCTTATGAGAATTGTGTTTTGTTTTGGTAAAAATGGTTTGTATCGTCAGTTAGCTGAGATTCTTCCCGTTAATCTGGTATAACACATTAATTGGTTCTTAAATATTAAGATGCCCTGAGACACAGTGTCGTGAAAAAAAAGCCCCCGCCGAGGGGGGCTTTGGGGCTTAACAGCTGGAGTTTGCTTTTAGCTAAGCTGTGGTTATAGGAAGTCATGTGACCATAATGTAGTTCCTTTATAGCCTATTGTTAGCTTTTTACTTGTATCATAACTTGATCATCACTTGTATCTGTTGCCACAGATCTTATTTTCAGCAATATTCCAAAATCCAAGTGAAACAACTCATTGGCTTTTGTTGAGAGAGCCCTTGTAATGCTAACTTCCTGGTATGATTGGAAAGCTGAGACATGTATTGATGTGTGGTAATGTAAGACCAAATGGTAGCCATTTAATTTCACTGAGACAGGTTTTCTAAAAGTTGAACTCAGGGTGAAAAGGGACCTGTTGTGACACAGGTTAATCACAGCCTAAATAAATATTACAATCACAATCTAGAGACCTAGGGCATGTAGCTGCTTTCTTGAAAAAATTGACAGTATCTGAGCAGTTTGCAAAACACATTAATTGCCAAAAGGCAATTCTTGCAAAAAAAATCTCTACACTGAAAACACTGAAGCGTTGACTTTAATTATATGTACAACCAATTTATTTCTCATAACTGTAATAGGTAACTTATAAGATATACTCGAGCATTAGAATGGCCATCATATAGCTTGGTCATAAGGTTTTAGGACCATATAACACATCTTAAATCTTCAGGGTCCCAGCTTTCTGAAAATGTATATGTGTGTGTATTTTGTGTGTGTGTGTCTCTGTAGGCTACTGCTCAATGTCCTTAAGTTAATGAAGTGACAATGAAACAAGTTGTCACATGAATCTGCTCTCTCCCACGTACTGTTTTTAAGTAACTAGGAGACAGGAGAAAATGAGACAAAATGTTCTCTCCTTCAGCACCCGAGATACACATGAACACACACAGGTTGAAGAGGCACCAGTCGAGTGTGAGACAGGTTGGTGACTCTCCTTCACTCTAAAGCCTGACACCAGCCTCCATATTCCAGCCTTTCTACCTTCCTCCCCTCCTCCACCTCTCCGGAGAATAGCCCTGCATTGTCATTCACTAACAGTAATGAGGCGGGGGGAGCTGTTGAAGCGCTGAGAGCTGACAGAAGAGAGGCAGAAGGCAGGGTTTAAAGTCAACTCAATGGCACACTGTGTCTGCTGAGATACAGCAGGGGAGAGGAGGGAGAGAAAGAGACTGGGGATAGTGGAAGTGGGAGAACATAGGGGGAGTCGGCTAAGAGAGAAGGAAAATAGTTCAGAGTACAGTAGATTATTTGCAAATGGAGGAAAGAATCTGCCATTTAAGGTGTAATGTGATATGGAGGCATTTTAATTCAAACATTGCAAAATGGGGTTAACAGAATTTAAGAGGTTTCAGTGTTGGCGTTTTGTCCAATACGTCTATACATTGTTTTGCAGAGATATACAGAAATTACCATGCTAACTGACTAGCCCTCAGCCCATCCTTCAATGTGATACGACTTGTTCTTATAAATGCAATAGTGAGTCACTGTAGCACCAGTCTGACCTCAGCGGCCCCATGGCTTCTGAGTGTAGACGCCCTGGTTAACGTAAGTGCCACTTTAACAAATAGATGGGTAACACAAATGATTGGCTGATGCCACACATGAATAATTTAAACTAGCAGGATTAGTATGACCAGCTCTCAGAATTGTTGCACTTGGAAGAATTGTGTTTCTTTTTTCCCAGCTGTTAAGCTGACTTCACATGATACGCAATTAGCTTTTTGCTCACCGCACGGTCGGGTGAAGAGAAAACAGATACTCAAGTCTTGTTTACCTCCCCTTCATACAGCTGTCCTCTGATTGGTTGTGCGTCGAGAGGTCAGCAGTAGATAGGTAAAAGTTAAATAAATTGAACTTTGAGCGCATGCAACAATAGGTTGGTTTCACTTGACGTCACACCGCTGCGTTCCTTTGGCGCGAAATTCCATTGGAGGTCAGGAAGTAATTTTCTACAGAGGATCTAGCTGCTGTTACCATTGTGAAAATGCCGGTGTGTTGTGTAGTTTACGGTTGTTCCAATCGATCCGGCCGAGAGAAAAACAAGAGGTTTTACCGAGTGCCGAAGGTTGTCGTCCATAAAGCTGAGCAATTTAAGAAGCTAACCGAAGAACGCCGGAAAAAATGGCTTTCAAACCTACATCTGCGGTCGGGAGGAGCAGAGTCGTCTAATGCACGTGTCTGCAGCGACCACTTCATCAGAGGTATTAGCTAACTTGGTTTTTGTGGCTTTGTTTATGTATTATTGGGTTGTGGTTAAATGCTTATGTACTTAGTAATACTGATCATGTTTAAGTTACCTGTAGTCTAATATGGACTTTGTTGGGACTTTTTAGGGTGCCCTAGCGCTTTGGGTGACGTTGAGTCGGTAGACTGGGCTCCCACTGTTAGCCTCGGTTACCACACAACAAGTAAGCCCAGATCAGAGACATCTCTTCGACGAGAGCAGAGGATGGAGCTCAAGGAAGACCAACAAAGACAATCAGAATGTGCAGAGGCTTTGTTGGATCTCCTGCAGACAACCGAGAGCCCAGAACCGACGCAACCCCCGTCTGACAGCCCACAACCAGAGGACACCAGTGGGATATTAAATGACCAACAAGGTAAATTAACCACCAGCATTATTATTAAATATTACAAATGTGATTGTCAGAAAATCAATGCAAACTTTGAATTAGGTTTAGGTTTAGAAAATAGAGTACTAACTTGAGAATCTGCAATAATTGGAACAGAGAACTTGCATGTCTGTAAAAAGGTTGTCAAAAAGATGACTTCACAACAATTCACATTCATATTTGACTATTTTAAATAACTAATTATGCTTGCTACTGCTATATTGTATGCAGATGCAGGATGCCAGACTGATTTATCGATGGAGGACATCGAGAGGATGGAGGATGTTCTGAGACAGAACACAACAGAGCTGGGAGATCTTCGGACAAAGGCACTGGACACAAAGTTCAACCAGGAGTCCTTTGAGAACAACGAAGAGAAGACAAAGTTTTACACCGGGCTCCCCAACTTCTTAGTTTTACTTCAGGTTTTTCAACTGTGCGAGCCCTACATCACCTGTGGCCCTATGTCTGTGCTCTCCAAATTTGAACAGTTCATTTTAGTTTTGCTGAGGCTGAGACTAAATCTCCCTCTGAAAGATTTGGCTTTCAGGTTCAACATCTCTCTCTCCACTGCTTCTAGAATTTGGCATAAGTTAATTGACATACTTCATGAGAGTACAGAATTTATAATTGAGTGGCCAGAGCGACATGTACTTCAAGCTACAATGCCAATGGGATTCAGACAGGCATTTGGATGTAGAGTTGCTGTGATTGTTGTTTGAAGTTTTTATTGAGAGGCCCTCTAATTTACTAGCTAGAGCACAAACATGGTCCAACTACAAGCATCACCATACTGTTACATTTCTGATTGGTGTTGCTCCCCAAGGCTATGTCACTTACACATCTTGTGCCTGGGGAGGAAGAGTTAGTGATAAACAGATCACAATACAGAGTGGGCTCCTAAAAAACCTGTTACCTGGAGATATTGTCCTAGCAGACCGTGGGTTCGATATTGGCGATAGTGTGGGATTTTACTGTGCTTCACTAAAGATGCCTGCATTCACCAGGGGGAAAAGTCAGCTGTCAGCATACGAGGTGGAAGAGACAAGAAAAATAGCTAATGTGCGTATTCATGTCGAAAGAGTCATAGGATTAGTCAGAAGAAAATATCAGATTCTGCAAAGCAGGGCTGTGCCCATAGAGCACATGCTAACAAAACCAGGTGAGGCACTAGCATTAATTGACAAGATTGGGGTTATTTGCTGTGCCTTGTCTAATCTGTCAGTGTCTGTCGTCCCATTGGAGCATGTGTAGTCTTGTAAATAAGAAACCATGTATTATTCAGTATCATTTAATCTTTTCAGTAAACATCTTTTTGTGTTCAAACATCTTGTGTTCAAGTCTTTTCAGTAAACATCTTTGTGTGTTGTAAATTGTGTAGCCCTAATCAATATACAACTTTCATCTACATTCAGGCTTAATTCATTCAACAATATTCTAGAGATGACAATTGGTCTGGTGACGCTCCCATGTATGGCCATTGAGGGTTATTGTAAATGTAAATAAGAAACCATGTATTATTCAGTCTTCTTAGTATCATTTAATCTTTTCAGTAAACATCTTTTTTACAATAGCAATATATCACACAGCCCTGCTTCCTCTAGTGAGTGTGGTCAGTGAATATGAAGGTGCTGTAATGCAGGTTAAAGAGCTGCCACTGTGCAAATAATAATGCAACAAGGAGAGAACCACAACTTCCGCTCACAACAAAGTCTTCTGTCACCATGGGGCAGCCAATCAGATCCAAGGAGCAGATGAATGGTTCGGAGGTTTTTGGATCTATTCCGGCGATCACAGGCTCGATGTAGTATGGCCCAAACCTGATGAGAGCATGACATATTTACCATTTATGCAGGTATTTGTGCCTACTGTAAGCAGCTTAAATGTGGACATGGGTCTATATTAAGTTCAGTGCACTCACCTCTTCTCGTACAACAGGTTGGACACCATGCTCATGAAGGTCTTGGGCTTGATCTGGCGACCCTCCTTCAGCTCGTACAGGTTCAGTCTGAATTTAAGCCTCTGGGATCTACACACAAGGCAAAGACATCCATCAATCCTCAGATATTTACATTGAATTCAGTCATCACAAATCTAACTTATTTCAAAGCTATGGATAGCAGAATTTCTAATAACGTTTTCTCCCCTATTTATTATAATGAATAGTAATACTATTCAACTACAACACTTTTGTTATTGGTATAAACATTGGGACAACACTGGGATCCCCCAGTCAGAGCTGGTTGATGTGGCCAGGGAAAATAAAGTTTGGGGCTCTCTGCTTGAAATGCTACCTCCACGACCCGACCACGGATAAGTGGGAGAAGATCAGTGTTGGGCAAGTTACTTTTAAAAAGTAACTAGTAATAGTTATAGTTACTGCTCTCAAAAAAGTAACTAGTTACTTTATTAGTTACTAAATTATAAAAGTAACTAGTAACAAGTTACTTTACTTTAAAAAATAAATAATAAAAATACAAGTTTTTGTGTTGTTCTGTGGCA